GCCTTGTCCACACCATCAAATTTGATATGACATATAAATGTGATGTACCCATATTTGGGCATAATGTGACATCATCATGCCCATATATGGAGAAATCACACAAAATTTGTCACATTGTGTGGACAGAGCACTATCAAATTCTATGTGACAAATAAATGTTGTATGCCCACATTTGAGCATAATATGACATCACCATGCCCATATATGGGCACATCACACAAACTTGTTACATGAAAATGTCACAGTGTGGATAGAGCTTTGGTCTATCTTTCTGGAAATAAGCCAATAATTAACGACCTCACCTGATTATCTGTCTCTTATACACATCTTAACTTGTATTTCGGCCCTCCGGCTGAGACACAAGGAGGAGGCAGCAATGGAAATTGAACCAGGGACCAAGAGATGTCCACAGTTCAGCGCACACACAATAGCTACCAACAGTTTTCCAAACTGAGCTAAGCTGCTCTCTAGATTTTTTATCATAAATGCAAAAATAATAGATATACTTTATGCTGCTTTTTTCGTTATTTAAGAATAATTCATTATAAATATATAGGCATTTATATATATATAACATGCAGAAACATTTTCATATCATAAATTATGTTATTGCTAATTGTGACTTATATCAGATGTAAAGAACTTGAGACTTGATATAAATTACCATTAAAGATATTTTCTTTTTACAACTAATGGTTTCACTTTTTAGTTCATACTACAATTTAAGACCATGAAATTTTGCAAAAAAATGTTTTTTTTAAATCTTACAAGAGGAATATTATCTGATCTTCTTGTTTTTCTAAAGTTATATGTATTAATTATTTTAAGTTTATAAAAAAAATTGTTGAACTGATATTGGTAATATCTGTTCTTATATTGAAGGAATAAGACCTGGATTTTATGTATATTATACATATTTATAATTTTTAGTTTCTGTGACTTAAATGAAAAGTACAATAACCTACTGCCCAAATGATGATAAAGATCTTACCTAAAGTAATGAGCATGGTTATTATACAAACCTGAGAATCTTTGAGAATTATTTTTGCGACGACATCTGGTTGAAATACTCCAGCAGTCTCCGAAATTAATTTTGTTTCTTTTGGCTGCAAGAAGAAGGAAGTTTATAAGAACATCAGAAAATAGGAGTGATGTGTTTGGGAACATACTGAGTATTCATTACGACAACATGCCAGGTAGACTAAAACATCACTCCTATGACATTTTGCAGACGCAAACACACATTGAAAAAAAACATAAAAAAACATCAAAGAACTGTCAAAAATGGAAGCGGTTAATGGCGCAGCAGGTTGGGTTTAAATCTCTCAATGTTCACTTTGTGTCCTTAAGCAAGGTACTTCATCTGCGTTGCTTCTTTCCACCTAGGAGTATAAATGGTACCTGGTGAGGCTGTCTGCTACTGAGCCAATACGGCAGCAATTAACCATATGGAACCGATGACCTGGGATAACAATGCTTTGTAGCCTAAAGGAAAGGTGCTATATAAACACTCACTAAATTAAACACTCACTAAATTACAACTGTGACTTTGGAGCACAAAGAGGAGGATTGGTAATGTAATGTAGTGACAAATAAATATGATATACCCATATTTGGGCATAATATGACATCATCATGCCCATATATGGAGAAATCACACAAATTTTTCACATAAAATTTGATAGTGTGGACAAAGATTAAAGCCTTGTCCACACCATCAAATTTGATATGACATATAAATGTGATGTACCCATATTTGGGCATAATGTGACATCAACATGCCCATATATGGAGAAATCACACAAATTTTTCACATAAAATTTGATAGCGTGGACAAAGATTAAAGCCTTGTCCACACCATCAAATTTGATATGACATATAAATGTGATGTACCCATATTTGGGCATAATGTGACATCATCATGCCCATATATGGAGAAATCACACAAAATTTGTCACATTGTGTGGACAGAGCACTATCAAATTCTATGTGACAAATAAATGTTGTATGCCCACATTTGAGCATAATATGACATCACCATGCCCATATATGGGCACATCACACAAACTTGTTACATGAAAATGTCACAGTGTGGATAGAGCTTTGGTCTATCTTTCTGGAAATAAGCCAATAATTAACGACCTCACCTGATTATTACTCTCTGCTTGTAGCATTGGCGTATCTGTGTCTGGAGGGCAGTTCACAGTCACATAGATATCATATGGTTTCACCTTGGGAAAAAAGTAATAAAAAAATTTTTTTTTAATTTTTAAAAAATATAAAGATAATATAAAATGTATTACTCCAAAAGAAAATTTGTTCCTTCAAATATATTGCAATATGAATGGACAGACCCATAACCAGGGGGAGTGGGGTTGTAGTTCAGCAGAACCCACCCCCACCCCTTTTTTCGTTTATCAGTTTACTACATGTTGTTGAAGCCGACATGTTCATAGCTCATGGCAATTTTGAGATATTGTGCCAACAAAAATTGCCAGAAAGAGAAAATAAAATGCAGGGAAAAAAAGGTCTTATATATTAAACAGGATATTGAAGCAATCAAACAAAATTAATATCATCAAATAGTTTCATCTGGTTTTGTAACTGTATAATCCAATTATTTTTAAATAGTAACATCAAAAAAATAGTTGACTATTTAAAAATAATTGGATTCAAATTAATATCATGTAAAATATTATATATAATTACCTCCATCTGTAGGCTCTCTGCAAAGCCTCGTAAGGCAAACTTAGAAGCAGAATAGGCAGTGAAGCCATACAGTCCGATCTGGCCAGCCTGGGATGAAATGAGGACAATCCTGCCACGCTGCCTTGACATCATCTGGTCTAACACAGCCCTTGTTGCTTGCACTGTTCCATTCAAGTTAATTTTCATTACATTCTTGAATGAGACAACAACAGTTTCAATTTTATATTTTTATAAACCAATAATTCCTATCAATTTTAAGTATTAAATTTGGAAAATTCTAGGTTGTGAAAAATCCAGCTTATGGAATGTCTTTTCCCCCGAAGCCTTAATTAGTTTAACCAGTTTACTGGACTCCATCAGGGAAAAATCTGGTGTACAAACACCAGACTTAATGGAGCATCCAGGCATTTAAATAATTATTTCTCACTTTGTATTTTTTATGTATTTTTTCATCATGTTAATGTAATACAGGTCTCCCTCCAACTAAAGACCACTTCTGGTTTCCATGGTCCCTAATTAGAATAATAAAGATAAATGATAGTTGTTAGACTGGGACCATAAAAAGTGGTCTTTAATTAGAGGTGGTCTTTAATTGGAGTGGTCCTTAATTAGAGGGAGGCCTGTATGTAACATTGAATGCAAAATAAATAAAATCATACTCAATGCAGTACATACTTAAATAAACAACTGAATTGAAAATAAAGTAATAACATGATGTCCATACATTAACTAAAGAAAAGCATGTAATACCTCGAACTCTTCAATATCTGTATCCACAAAGGCCTTAGAACACGACACGCCTGCAGAATTTACCAACATGTCACATGGGCCAAGTTCAGAGACAGCCTGCAAAAAGTGAAATTATCATATTATATATAGGCTACACAATCTCACTGCAGAGTGGCTAAAATAATACTAATTTACTGTATACCTTTTACCTATTGTTGCCTATCCATATTTTATAGTACATTTACATAAATTTACATACATTTAAAAATGTAGTATTCACTCATACATCTAAGTACCCAAAAAATAGATTTTGATGTTCAAAAAAAAAAAAAAAAATTTGATACAAACCTCTTTAAATGCCTGCTCAACCTTTGAATATTCATCGGCAACATCTAGTACAATTATATTTACTCGCTGAAATGTCAATACAAAAGACATTAGAAAGTTATAAAACTCTGCTATATTTTTTTTTAATCTAATGATGCTTTTACTGTAGATTTATGGTTAAGAAAAATACCTAAAAAATTAAAATGTTCACCTGTTTTGAACCTTCTTGGACATATTTTTCAACTTCCTGTTGGGCCTCTAAAAGTTTGGCCTGAAAATGAGGAAACAAAATTTACATGCAATCCAGAGAAAATGGGACAAGGGTGAGTTGGTGTAGCTATGCATAATAGAGAATGCTGTATTTAGTTGGGTATATTGGAACAATATGACCCAAAAGAGTGGGATGTCAAATAAGAGAAGGAATGGAGAAGAAAGCAATGCGGATGCTTAGCTATGAGATGTAATGATAGAGTTAGCTTAAATTTCTATTTAGTAATTTTTATTAAACTTGTTAAATTCCTAATTTATTAAACTTGTTAAATTCCTAGGCGAGACTTTTTTTATACCCTCCAACAACCAAAAATGGTGATGCTGAATAAAAATAAAATTTTATTTTTGGACAGTTCTTTTTATTAAGCCCTCCACTCCATTGAAATCTCTAAAAATAGATGTTTCTTCATTAATTATATAAATTTAAAGCATTTATCAATCTCATTTACTAAACTATATAATTCATTCATAATTCAAAAATTTATGCAAAACTTGGTATAAAAATGTTTCTCTTTAGTCAGTAAACAAATTTAAATAATATTACATTAATGCTGGTCCAATATTAATTGGACAATTTCAAATAATAAATTATTTTAATATATTAATATAACCTTTTTTCTGGCCATAAGAGTGACACTTGCACCATTTTTTACTGCTTCTACTGCAACAGCTTTTCCTATGCCACTTGAACCACCTGTTATCTGAAGGTTTCAAAAGAGATCACATGACAAAGATTTTATTCTGGGTATATAGTCTCATAAACCAATCAATCAAAAATGAATCTTGACTAAATGTAGTTAATTAGTAACTTTTGGTATTTAGTAATGGTTGCATGTAAAAATTACATGAACATACAAAAAAAAAAAAAAAGTTATTCGGACTAGCCTACGCCAAATTTTAATTTATTTAGTAATGTAAACTGGTGAAATAACACAATGCTTTCTTTTTCACAGAATGAAAAGCTGACCTCACAACAAACATAAAAGTTTTAATCTTTTACATTCTGGCAACTCCAGTGAGAGCGATCGTGCATGCTTCATGTGTCCGAAGGCGACGCACGCCGACAAAAACAGTAATCACGCGCCTACTAACCTAACCCCACCTCTGCTATTTAGCCTAGCCCAGGGCCTAGCACTAGCTTGGAGATATATATGCTAAAAACATGAAATAATATCTTACAATCACATGCGATCCTTTCAGTTTAAACCGTCTGGGCCTTACATATGGAGAAATAGCAAATGCTAAAACTGCAAGCAGCTGCAAAACCGCAAATAAAACTAATAATTCTATCACATCCATCTTCAATGTGCTCTTCTCAAATTTGTTTAATGTAATCCTCAACTCTGGCAACCACAAAATAGTCCATCACGAGAGAGAAGCTGCTCCACCTGCGAGAGAGAGGTCGACAAACTGTTCATCATTAATAATAACTATGGTAAAGCTGTAAATTTAATAGTTAATTGTACCATCCGAATTTAAGATATTTCTTATTAATTCTGGTGGAATATACTGTATGAATCGGCATGTTTTGCAGCCTAGGCCCAGATGTAGTTAGTCCTGGCCTAGGCCTAGGTAGGAGTAGGAGGTACAGCTTGAGGAGAGGCTGGCCTCCCTACTGCCTAGAAATAGTAGAATATTGTAGGGCCTAACCAAGCTGGGCTACGTTTCTGCTTCTCTTTCATCACCGCCGCCAGGAATTGTTGCATTTGTTGAACGTTCACCAATTTACCGTCATTTGTGTAGAGTAGAATTGTTTGCATTTAATTTAGGCGTTAGTTTTTAATATTTATTATTTCTTTCAATAATTTGAGTTTTGTTATTATTTATTGCTGACATAGGCCTAGGCCCTACATCTAAGTGATTATTTTGAAAAGCAAATGATGCACCTGTTGTTATAAAAACTATATTTTTTAATTGTAGGCACCAACACAACCCCCCGAGGATCAGGAGAAGCTGCTTGATGATGCTATGAAGGAGGTGAAAAAACAGTCCTTCCAAATGAAGCGATGTTTGGTACGTTTAGCATCTCTTTTTGCAGTAAATCTGAGCATACCTGCTTGATTGGTACATATATCATGTATGAGTGTGCAGTGCACAAATTGAATTATATGCACATTCTTTAAACTACTACCAATCAAAATTTGACACAACACAAAAAAACAACTCGAACACATTTTTGAAAATGTTAACTGTTTAGTGAGAGTACAGTTTGCTTCTGTATATTTTATAAACAATAATTTGTAGGCCTATGATCAAAGAAAATAATTTATCTTATTCATTCATCTTAATTCATTAATCTTACTGAAGATCAATGAATAAATTTTAAAATAGAATATCACAATCAATGGCTTGTATCACTTTCATTCTTATCTTCCAAACTTATCGGTAACTCTATGATTATTATACACTACTGTATTTATATTATTTTAAAATATCTTTATTTTCTTCCAATAGGACAAAGCTAAGTTGATGGATGGCTTGAAGCATGCATCCAATATGCTGGGTGAATTGCGTACATCCATGCTCTCTCCTAAATGTTATTATGAACTCTGTATCCTTTGAATTAGGAAGATAATATTCAGTTATTCAGCTGTTATATTTAAATGAATTAAAATTTATAATCTATTACCCATTAAAATATCCATGATGTAATAATGCTAAACAAATATGAATCAGCTTACTTTTTTTTGTAATGAAAAGTTGGTAACAAGTGGTACATTAATTAACTGATTGATTGGATAATTGATTATTTCATAATTTTACTGAACTCCAGTAAGAGACTAATAGGAAACAAAGGGAATAAGTCCCTTACAAAGTACTATGCGAATAATACTTGACTGCCAGACAAACATAAAAATATAGTTACAACAAGAAAATACAAAATTAACTTTGTCCCAATCCCTTCCTAATCAAAGTATGCTTAATGTGGTAGTAGATTTACCCAATATGAGCCTATTCTAGTGACTCATTTTTTCCACAAACCATATTACAGTATATGAATTGTAAAAGGGAGATACATTCATTTTATTATTGTTTCAGCTAAATGCCTCTATTGGTTGTCAATTGCCATGGTGCCTGTATTACAATTTCTGATCAGGGTGCAATTGTGAACATCTTGTTGTAGTCCTTTATTTATAATGAATTAGATATGAGCGTGTGCGATGAACTTCGCTATCTGGAGCAACATCTATGTGATGAGTTCACCAAAGGTCATAAGATGACTGACCTGTATGAGTTGGTGCAGTACGCTGGAAACATCGTGCCAAGATTGTAAGCATACTTGTAACTCATTCTTATTAAAGTCAGTGGGTCTTGTTATTATAAAATTTTTACACCAGTCAACAAATTTATGATTCTGATTGGATGATTGTCCTAATCCAGTCCAATATGATCCAATCAGAATTAGCAATTCAATTAATACTGGTGTAACAATAGCTACTGGAGTAACAATAGCTACAAGCTTTCTCATCTCACTAAATTGCCTCCAGCACCAAACTTCCCCTGTACAATATGTAGCCCAACAGTTTTTATATATTTGAATTTTCCCTCCAAAATTCCTCCAGGACGTTAATGTTGCCTACGACCGTCAGTGACGCGGTCGTGCACTTTCAGCCCTGTAGGGTTCCAAATTGGGGAAGCCACATCTGAGAGTTCTGCTTTCATGATCTCTTTTATAACACATCTTTTTTTTTTCCCGCTGCACATAGTTAAGGCCTGTTTATACTTCAACGATAACGATAAAGATAAATAAGCTAAAGAGCAATTGTTCATATAGAAAATAAAAGAAATAAGAGAAGTTTTTACACTAGAACGATTCGATAACGATTTATCAGTTATGCGATAACAACATATTTTGACAAATCAAATCAAGATGATGTCATAATCATGGGAAAACATTAAAATCAACGTAGTAGCAACGATTTTATCGTTTGTCCATGATTATGACGTCATCTGATTTGATTTGTTAAAATATTTTTGTTATTGCATACATGATAAATCGTTATAGAATCGTCCTAGTGTTTTCTATATGAAGAATCGCTTTTTAGCATTTTTATCGTTATCGTTGAAGTGTAAACAGGCCTTAATACCCATGGCCAGCTGACTTGAGGGAGAGTATTAAATAATGCTGTGAGTCACAGGAGACTTGCAACCTTTGTATATAAAAGCTAATGTTACAATAAATTAAATTAGTTAAATTGTTAAATATGTAAATTATCAATTTTTTTTTCTAGGTACCTTCTTATCACTGTTGGTATTGTGTACATCAAGTCCAGTAGCACCTCTAAGAAGGACATCTTGAAGGATCTTGTGGAGATGTGTCGCGGTGTCCAGCATCCACTCCGTGGGCTCTTTCTCAGGAACTACCTTCTGCAAGGAACCAGAAATACACTACCCGATGTTGCTGAAGAGGGGTAATGTTAATGTCCATAGTTTTTGCACGACAGCAGTAAAACGTAGAACGTAACGACGTCACTAAAAGTCATCTGCACATGCTAGAACGTTAAGTTCTCGTCGCATGGATTCTAGGACGCAATTTGGCCAAATCTATGTATGCAAAGAACGTACTGTAGGATGCCCAGTAGGACGGTCACGTATGAGTGATTCCATTTTAACGTCGAGTCCCCCTCAAAACAAGTCACTGAAAGGCTTAGAAAAATATCATTCTTACATTCTTGAATTGTATTTGTTTTTCAACTTAATCATTTGTTTTGTATTTTTGACAATTAATTTATATTAAATATATTATTATATTATCCTCATCGTCTTCACACATTTTTCAACACCTTCAAGACTCAGTTGCATGCAAAAATACATCTAATTCAGACAGTTTCACTATATTCTGGATTCCACACACAATAATTTCTAACTTAAAATTAAAGAAGCCCTTTACATTGCTTGGGGAAATCCTCCACTTATGAACAAACACCTTGTTACAACATCACTCTTATTCTAATTTTAATATACATGACTTTACTTTGTTGTTGCAGGGAAGAAGGCTCTGGTTGTATCACTGATGCCATGGACTTCATTCTCCTCAACTTCTCAGAAATGAACAAGCTGTGGGTGCGCATGCAACATCAGGGACATACCAGAGAACGGGAAAAGCGTGAGAAGGAACGAATGGAGCTGCGTATTCTTGTTGGCACTAACTTGGTCCGGTTGAGCCAACTGGAGTGTGTTGATGTAGAGAGATACAAAAAGGTCAGAAATTTTTTAAGTATGCTGTAAATGCCTGAATATGCACAGCAATGTTTTGGAGGCTTTAGTCGTGATTAATCGAGAAAACACTTAATAATAAATGTCAACTTAGCGCATATTTTAGAGATCTATATGCGCTTCACATTATTACCCCTGGTCATTGGATCAAGCACATATGGAACACATACTCAGCTGCCTTGGGAAAATTCCATAATGTTGCAGCTGTAATCAGTGCATTTTGTGTTTGAATCTACCACATGTAATCCTAGGCGGGGTAGAGACAACCGTAGGTAAAGTGCCTTGCCTAAGAACACAAGCGAAATGCACAGTGAGGGATTGAACCCAGACCTTTAAGGTTGAGAAGCAGAACCACAACCACTGCACCAAACCGCTCTTAGTCTAGAGCGGTGCTTATTACATAATGGTTCCATTTGTTGTACAAAAGCCTATCTGACTTTAGTGTTGTGAAATCACTTTTTTTTTATGATACAAACCTTCTCGGCATGTTGTCAGCAACAGAATATACTACCCTACCATACTGCTATTTGATCATTTGGTGAAGATACACATTTTGGTTTTGAAGGTAAAGCCGGTTTTACACTAAGCGAATTGAAAGCGTAGGTTCATGCGCATGTATATTCACATTTTTATCAGCGTTTTTCGCTGAAGCGAAATCAGTAGTCCAAACTGCTTCTATGCGCAACCAATCAGAGCTCAAAAAGTGAACCAATGTTTTTGATTCTCGCAAATAATTTCACCTAGTGTAAAACTGGCTTAATGGTTTTTACGTAGATGAATTTCTTGAATTCTAATAGCAGTATTTTATACTTTTATTGTTTAGTTTTTATCAGTTTGAAATTAAACAATATGTATTAAATTATGATTAAACATTTTTTTTAAATCATTTAAATTGCTCATTGTGAATGAGTGTTTGGATTTCTTACCTTGTAAAGTAAGAGAATTATAAAATGTATTTTTGTTTTTTGTACTAGCGTGTTTTGCCGGAAGTACTGGAACAGGTTGTCAGCTGTAAAGATTATATTGCACAAGAATACTTAATGGAATGTATTATACAGGTAGGCAAGTGGTCAAATTTGATTTCACTAGGTTATTTTTTATAATTATTTATAGGTTTATTTGTTTATTATTATATATTTCAAATAACTTTTTGTTAATTCTGAGTTGAAGAAATATTTTGAAAAGTAAAATTACCTTCCAACGTTTTGCCTGTGATACTTACTCATGAATGTCGGTTCATGGAACGATGATCTGAACCAAGTGACGTCAGTTTGGTCATTTTACGGGGTGTACATCATCATCAATGGAGTTCCCCAGACAGATAGGGTTTGCCAGCCACCTCCTTCAATAAATTGTCGTAAATGTGGGTTGGGGTGGGGGTCTGGGCTCCTTCGTCACGGTTCATATTTTCAGATTTTCCGTTCATGCCATGCTTGCTCTTTGGCTAGAATTTTGACATTATTCCAATCTGAGATATGGTTGAGTTGTGCCATGTGATCGGTTATTCAGTATGGTAGAGGAGTGGATAACTTTGGAGGCAGGAGTTTTTGGCAGCTCTTGTTCTCACACCTGTGCAATGGACATCCACGTTGGTGTTATGTTCTTTGATTCTGGTGCCCAGAGGTCTGGATGTCTCTGCTATACTCAGAGGGGCAAAATTTTTATACCACTCCACTTGCATCTTTATTGTTTATTTTGTCTTTGGGGTCGACTAATGAATTTTTGAGTTTGTTCTGCGGAACGAAATAAGTATTATTATTGAACTCTCCGAGACCTTTTCTAATGTGTTCGGAAACCTTAGGGATGTATGAACACCTGCATTGTTAATTATATAATGCTATTCACGGCCTGGCCTGGAAATGGTTAATGATAAATGTTATTTTAAGTGTGGTCCAATGAAAACAATTTACAATGTTTTTTATGCCTTATAGTAGTTGTATTATCCATTTTGATAACCATCTTTTAAAATTGTCTAATATTATTTATTGTGCAGGTGTTTCCAGATGAGTTCCACTTGCAGACGCTGCACAGCTTCTTGAAGGCCTGCGCTGACCTCAACTCTAATGTCAATGTTAAGAACATAATAATCGCTCTTATTGATAGGTTAGTAATTTATAAGATAGTAAAAACATTTTTATATAACTGGTATGATTTCTACTGCTAATAAATATATTCTTATATTTTGTGATCTTTGATCCTCTTATCAGAGGAATCCTTATATGTCAATTAAATGATTGAGTGTTTTTGCTTTGATCACAGGAGTATGTCTTCAAATATTATTGTTCTTATGATTTGTTTGATCACACATCTGATTATTTCTCTCACCCTAACAGATTGGCATTGTACGCCTCAAGGGATGACACTACTGGTATCCCCTCAGATCTCAAACTCTTTGACATTTTCTCTGAGCAAGTTGCAGCCGTTGTCAAGGTAAAATGCTACCCAGCAACATTGATTCTTTATATCACCATTCAGATACAATTTGCCAATTCATAAAGTACATTAAACGGTGTATCTGTAGATCTCTAGCTGTTTTTGTCATGTGAGCATTAGTACTATCCCAAATTGTTACAGAAGATACATTAAAAGAAGTGGACTGGAACTTGGATTGGCCATAACTGGCTTTCTGCTTTGACATATGATGTGTATGCGTAGGTCCAGGGTCGAAGGTTAATTTGTTTTATTGTCAGTAATATTCCTTTTATGTTACCTTTTATTAACATACTTTATACATTGCATTAATGTACTGCATGTTGTTTCATGCTTAAAACAAACATAATTAAGTAAATTCATTAATTATGGAGATTTTTTTTTCTTGTACTTTCTTAAGACTGATTTCTATAAAATCACTACACTGTCACTACAAATTGTCAACTGCAGTAGTTACACTGTGTAGCTGTTCCCAATGCAATCTGGAAAGCTCTCTGATTCGGTTGACCAATCAGCATCGCCATTTGCTGTCGGCGATAGCATGTAGGGATTTTATGGGAACCAGGCTTCTTGGTCTATTCCTGTGATTTAATCATTTTCACTCTTATCAAATGATCTAGGCTCGTAGTGATATGCCAGTGGAAGATGTGGTAGCTCTGCAGGTGTCGTTGATTAACCTAGCTCTAAAGTGCTACCCTGAACGAGTTGACTACATTGATAAAGTCCTCAAGAACACGAACGAAATCTTTCAAAAAATGTCTGTGGAAAAGTATGTAATCTTCAAAATTATTTCATTACTTAAAATATAGTATTTTTCATGAACAATATTTTTAGATTTATATATAATATTATTGTTCATAAATAAAAGATATTAAACTAAAGTAGAACCCCTATTAAGGGGACACCTTCGGGACCAAAGCAAGTGGCTCCTTGATATGTGTGTCCCCAGAATTGATTGGCCGAGCGATTAGGTCAGGGGCACCGTAACCTTCAGCTATATTATCCACGCTAGTTCAAACGGCTCACTCACTAATGGTTCCGTTCCGGTGGTGGAACAAGTCTTCTCGGATAAGGACTTTAAACCGTAGGCCCAGTGTATGCATTTGTCCCGTGTGCACTTTAAAGAACCCCAGTACATCTTTCAAGAAGAGTAGGGTGTTACCCTGGTGTACTGGTCCAATCAGTCCCCTGTTGTTTATGGATATGCCACCTAGGATAGTGATTAAGTTCTACTGTAGTTTGAAAATTATTAATTTTCCACCATCTACTTGTTGATAGTAAATTTAGCCCTAGGGAAAATATGTCCCGGATTAATTGTCTTACATTTTCTTTGAATTAGGAAATAAGAAATTAGCTTAACACTTGTGCCTGGTGCCAAAACTCTTTAACAGAAGACTCTTTCTACACTTGTTGCTGCCTTTAGATTGAAGAGCAACTCTCCTGTCTGTAAGGAACTCACCCGAATGCTGAAGATTCCAATTGATACCTACAACAACATCCTGACAGTGCTGGAGCTGAAGTCCTATGGCGGTCTCTTTGAATTTCTCGATTACGAACCTCGCAAGGCCATCAGCATGTACATCATAAACAACGCACTGGATCACAACACCATGGTGGTGAACCAGGAAGCAGTTGACGGCATTCTGGGATTGGTGTCTACTCTGGTCAAGGATCAAGAGGATCAACCAGAGGAACCGGTCAGTAATTAATTTATTTTCCTTTATACTTTAATACACTTACATTGAACAGGGCAAGAACTAATATGGAATTAAACTCGTTATTTGAAATTCTAGGTAAAAAAATATATAATCATGTTTCTACTTCCCGTACTCATTCACAAAGCAAAAACACCCAGAAAAATCTTACATATTTGCAAACCTCTCTCATTAATCATAATAATATGCATGTGTCCCCAGAATTATATGGCTGTGTTTGTGGGAAGCAAATTGTTAAGGGGAATAAAAGGCCTTATCCACCCTTATTCAAAATATCTTAAAGAGAAGCAAAAGGGGGTTTTTTTTGGCCGTAATTTTATAGCTCCATGCATAAGGACAGTGTATTTGTGCTTTGATGACTGAATACACAGTGTTTAATGTTATCTGCTCTATGCAGAATAGTCCCATTCCCAGGCATTTGGATCTGCAGATACTCATTATATACCCACTTGTTAAAAATGAAAATAAAGAGATTTATTGCTTTATGAAATGTTTTTTTTTCTTTTTATTTATTATCCAGGATGACCCAGAAGATTTTGCTGAGGAGCAAGGCATGATGGGAAGGTTTATCAATTTACTCAATGCTGACAACCCTGACCAGCAGTACCTGGTACGTGCAGAAGCAGACTTCATGCTGCGTTATTCTCCCTTAGCAGGTCCAGTCCATATATTACCCAAGAAAGCAAAACTAAGACTGAGCCCAGTAAAGTACTGTAAATTATGAGACAGCTAAATGACAGCTTTTTGGAACATTTCTTCTAAAAGGGAGCTTTTGCTTCATGTTTCTCATTGGTTAATAAGCCTTTCTGCTAAGCCCCGCCCCTTGGATTTTGTTGCTAAGGTCCCGTAAAACAATAGTGTTAAAACATATGCAGACATCTGCATTTGTGGGACACACACATACTCCAGGGTCTGTTCTGATTGGTCAGTTGTTAAGTTTGATTGACACTCCGTAAAGGTCTTATTATACTAAAATTGGAAACCAATTCTTTTTTTTCGGTAAAAATACTTAGTGACACGTTTTCATCCCTTTTCGCCTGCAGATTTTGAATGCAGCGCGGAAGCATTTTGGTAGCGGTGGTAACCAACGTATCAAGTTCACATTGCCGCCACTTGTTTTCTCCAGCTTTAGACTTGCAGTAAACTACAAAGAACTTGCAGAGGAGGTGAGTAGTCTCTGTGTTCTATTGAAAAGGTGTATCAGTTGACAGTTTCAGTTTTTTAATTGGTACTGAACTCTTGATTTTCTCATGATGAAAAGAGATTCTTCTCTCAGAGTTTAGTGAAGCTACTTACTTCAAATTTAAGACTAAGTTTGCTGTACAGTCTGTAAAGTGCCATTAGTATTTTTGACTTTATACGACTACAAGTCTAACTGGCTCTATTATATATATATTTTAAGAATATGCACCTCTCTAGATGCCCAGGAAATGGCACTTCCCGATTGTAAAATCAGTCTTCCCGGAGAAATAGTGAGCTTCTTTCCCGACTGGGATCCAGAGTTCTTTGGCGAGGTTCCAGTGCCCCTAGACCCTTGCTGGCACCACTACAGCTTTGTTAAATTTTCACCTACCTTCTTTTTCAGGATGACAAATGGGAAAAGAAATGCCAGAAGATCTTTGTTTTCTGCCATCAAACAATCAGTGCTCTAATAAAAGCTGAACTGGCAGAGCTTCCTCTGCGACTATTCCTACAGGGAGCCCTCACGGCAGGCGAAATAGGCTTTGAAAATCATGAAGGCGTTGCGTATGAGTTCATGTCACAGGTTTGTACTTTGCAAATTTTCTTTTAATAAAACATGGTCATATGGCTTGTGCGCATTTAAAAATGTGTTTAATTTTGGAGTTGGTGTATAGAGTTGTGGCTCAGTGGTAAAAATGTTTACAATCTTTAATCCCAGAATTCTAGGTTAAAATTCTGTAAAAAAAAAAAAAAAAAAATGTGGCAAATAACTGTTACATTATAGGCTTTAAAATGATGGGTCTTTTACTGGTATCAACTTAAAATTGCCAAAGTTATGAGTAAAAGTATTACAGCTTCTCTGTACTAAAGTATACAATACTGCCTCATTCATATGCTAATTTCTCTGTTTAACACTTAGCTGGTTTTGGGATGACAAGCCTGATATATGTTTGTGGTATGAAATTAGCATGCCCATATATGGACAAATCACATAGTTGTCACAGAATAGTTGTCACAGAAAGTTTGATATTGTAATTTATACATATAATTTGATATCCATATTAAATACAAGTTATACAATTACTTGCAATTTAATCTCAATTGACCTTTATAAACACAGGTTTTATACCATTACTTTAAAACTAAGTAATTGTATAACCTGAACTAAGGTCTTGATGATTGACTTTTGTAAACATTTCACTTGCTGTTTTGTAGGCTTTTTCACTGTATGAAGATGAGATAAGCGACTCCAAAGCACAGCTTGCTGCAATTACTCTTATCATTTCAACCTTTGAACGGATGAGCTGTTTTGGACAAGAGAACCACTCACCTCTCAGGACGAACTGCGCCCTCGCCGCTTCAAAACTACTCAAGAAGCCAGACCAGTGCCGTGGAGTCGGTATCTGCTCACATTTATTCTGGTCCGGAAGAACAACGGAAAATGATGGAGCTGAGGTGAGACAGGATGTTTATTTTTACAACATAATTTTTAGGTTTAATATGACCTTGTACTGATTCTTATGCTTTCTTAAGGACGTTTTTCAAGGGAGGTGTTTATTTTTTCTTTTTTTTTTTTTCTTTTTTTTTTTGGATACGT